ACTGAAACTGATTAGATAACTGGCTTTTCGAACGGGAAGTTTAGTACTAACGTGATTTGCATTTATCAAACTTTTGCTGTGTTCTTACGCAACAAAAGTACCATTTCAGTTCTAAAGAATCTATCCTGAGCTATACGTTCGGTAGATTACTTTTTTTTGAGTTTCACCATATTTAATAGTTACCTAAGGTTTTGCCTCAGTTTACTATTCGGTTTGTTTTTGTTTTTCACATATAGACTAGTTTCAGTTTATAACACTCGTTTTATCCATTTTTGTCCGTTTTCAGTGTGCTTTTTAGTGTTTTTTTAAAGGTTTTAGGCTCTTGCAAGCATCTATAACATAGTTTGCTTCAACATAGTCATGAAAAACTCATGCAAACGTCCGGGATGCCGTTTTGCTGTTGCAACTGGCATGCAGTGCGACAACTGCAAAGGTTGGTTCCACGAAGCATGCACAGATCTGACATCAAGTGCTTACAACAGACTCAGCAAGTCAGACCAAAAATGGGTATGTGTCACGTGCAGCACGGATGCTGTAGTTTTGCTGAGTAACATCATTGTCCTACTGACAGGTCTTCGGAACAAGTTGTCAGTTAACTTGGACAACGACAGTAAGAAAACCGGTAGACAAACAAGAGCGTGCGACGGATACAAAAACAGGGATGTCGATAGGTATACCATCGATGGAACATCCATCAACACTAATGATGACGTGTCGAGGCTCAGCACCATCAATACGTCGAAGGTATTAGACTCCCTAAGCAAACTCGGGTCTCCCAGCTCAGGGTCCCTTAACTCAACAGTGGTTCCTAAAAACCCTGTAGGTGATTCGACCCAAGTTAAGAAAGCCCAAAAGAACCAGGCATCACCGCCTAAGCCGAGCAACCCAAGTGTTGCTGTACGGAAATTAACTGGTGATTTGGTCGCACAGTCTACTCCCAAGACTGTTCGTCCGGTCAAAAAAGAGCCCAAGCCTCATAAACGCACACTGACCTCCAAACAGCAAGTCACTAAACATGAATCCGCCGTGAAACCTGGTAAATTAACAACAGTTCGTGACGACTCTCTCATTATCATGAACCTCGTTGATAATCCTGACCTTCCTCTCAGTCTGCAGGACAAAAACGACAGGATGCTCTGGGGTGAAATGAACAAGAAGCTCAGACTTCCTAGAATAGAGCCTTTGATGGTCACCCGGCTCTCTAGAGGAAAGGACTTTAAGCATCTAAATCACCCAAGGCTTCTCCGAGTAACACTTAAGAATGCTACCGATGTAGAGGACGTCTTACTAGCAAGTCACTTGCTGAAATCAGATGGTAACGTAAGAATATTGCCCGATATACCATTCTCTGAACGGAATATCATACGTAACATCCGTAAAGAATCTCGTGAGAAGTTTTTCCGCGGAAGAAACATAATTGTGCAAGGTATACCGGAGAATGCAGACCCTGCTCAATCAAATTCTGACATCAGGGAATGGAAATTCATCAAACAGTCCTTGAGGCTCAAACACATACTGACTCAGCATGTGACGAGATTAGCCAAGAAGGACGGTGATCTTAGACCCCGTCTAATGAAGATAACCTTCCCATCTTCCCACATGGCGGCTGCAGTTCTGGAAGCATTTCGTGCCAACAGACGTCGATTGCCACCTGGAATCCACATGCACCCGGACAGGCCATATGAAGCCAGGACCAAGCACGAAGGCAAGTTGGAGCTGACCATTCCACTTGTGGATTGTCTAACCGATAAAAAAACGTGTAAAGGACAGAGCCTACCACCTCGGTAAACCTCACATGGGTGGGCTACCTGTCCATTCACATAAGGCTCATACAGAAAAACAGGACGAAGCTCACGCGTTCCAAATTGAAAGCATAAACTGCTTATATATGAACGCCTCGAGTCTACCAAACAAACTGGATGAATTACGTGAACTTTGTAACGCTAATAAGGCCCACCTGATAGGAATATCTGAAACCTGGATATCTTCTCAGTTCTCGGACCAAGAGTTAGCATTACCAGGGATGACTTTGTTCCGCAACGACAGAACAATTGCAATTGGGGGTGGAGTAGCCATATTCATAAGCTCATGCTTGGAGGTGCACCAAGTTCACAACCTCGAGTTTAACAATCTTGAGGAATCCATATGGTGCTCTGTAAGACTGTCTAGCACTTCGAGGTGTCTAGTCGGTGTCATTTACAGGAAGCCAACTGCTGACATCGAGTACGATAGTCGTATGCTGGATGGACTATCCCGCTCAACCCGTCTCGGTTTCACACATATCCTGATTCTAGGGGACTTTAACCTTCCTAGAGTCAACTTCGTGTAACACACGTATACTGGAGGTGACAACTCAATTGAAGCTCGATTCTTCAACCTCATCGATGACTTGGGCTTATATGAAAATGTGAGGTCGGCAACTCGTTGGAGAAACAGTCAGACACCATCGCGCTTAGACTGTGTATTCACAAACGAAGAATTCCTAGTTGACAACCTCTCAATCCTGGCTCTTCTGGGAAAGAGCGACCATGCCGTCATAGCCTTCAGTTTTGTCACCAAAACTAAGCTAATGTATCCCAACAATAACTTGCGTTGGAATTTTAAACGGCTGAATGTGCCAGCTCTACACGACTATCTACAACAGGTGGTTTGGGATGTTCACCCCCAACTCGATGTGGACGGTCACTGGAACTTCTTACTGCACACGCTCTTATGTGCTACAAACCATTCAGTTCCTCAAACGGTTCCCAAAAGCTGTAAGCCACCTACAATAATCAAGAACCGTACCCTTCGCCTGCTAAGCCGTAAAAGGCACTGTTGGGCGGAATACAAACGAACTGACAACGACCGAGCGTATAGGTAATTCAAACATATCAGGAAAATATGCACGAAGGCTATAAGAGAAGACAGGCTTCATTATCAGACAAAGCTTATGGACAAATTTGCCTCGAACCCTAGAAGCCTATTCCGTTATGCAGCCTCTCTTCGTCAAGCCAAAACAGGAGTTTCTCAACTGCTAGGTCTTAACGGCCCAACCAACAACGATGGTGACGCCGCTAACCTCCTGGCGGCACACTACTCTCAAACATTTCAGCCGGCTGACATCAACTCTATTGACGACAGTTTCAACTGTAATTCCACAGGGCTTTCCGAAGTGGACCTAAGCGCTGACTTGGTGTTCCCGGAACTGCAGCACTTAAGACTAGATACTTCTCCTGGCCCGGATATGGTTCATTCTTCCATACTGAAGGAGGCAGCCTCAATCCTGGAAACGCCGCTTAGCGTGATGTTTTCACACTCGCTAAGCCAAGGCAAATTACCAGAAAATTGGAAGTTGGCTCACATCATACCAATTTTCAAAGGGGGTCGACGCAATGAACCTTCAAGTTATCGGCCTGTAGCTCTTCTGTGATTACCTTCAAAACTCATAGAGTCCCTGATATGCGATGGTTTAAACGATTATCTACTGTACTTAAACTTCTTCTCACCCCAACAGCATGGTTTCAGGAAGGGTTACTCTTGTATAACCAACCTGCTGACTGCGGTGGACAGATGGACAAGCATCCTCGATCGCAAGGGAAAGGTTGATATCATATACCTTGACTTCTCAAAAGCTTTTGATAAAGTTAACCACTTGTGTCTTATCAATAAGCTCAAACGACTAGGTATCAAACCACCTCTAATCGATTGGCTTACTTCATACCTAGAAAATCGACACTTTAAGGTTAGGGTTAATTTCACTCTATCTCAGGCTATGGAATGTCCTAGTGGGGTTTCCCAGGGCTCAGTATTAGGGTCTCTCCTCTTCTTGATCTACATAAATGATCTTCCTCAACAGGTAACGTCAGACTTACTACTTTTTGCCGATGACGTGAAACTTTCGAGAGAGATACGCAACCAAGACGATACACAGGCACTTCAGGAGGATCTGACTCGACTTCAAAGTTGGGCAGACGATAACGGACTTACCTTTAACACTTCAAAGTGTAAAGTAGTCCATCTGCGACATGTCGCAGACTACAGTTATAACTTAAGAAATTCCTCTCTAGTAGTATCCCAAGTCGAAAAAGATTTAGGAGTCCTGGTGCCCCATGATTTAAAGTCTTACGCTAACTGTGACAAAAATGCCTTCCGAGCAAACCTTGCACTGGTAACATTGAAGCGCATTTTTGGCCAGTTTGACGGAAGAACTTTCCATACAATCTTCAATAGTTTTATCCGTCCCCATTTAGAGTACGGAAATATAGTACTCCCCCCCTCACTCCAAAAGGACAAGATCGCTTTGGAGCGTATCCAACGGCGAGCCACGAAATCAGTTCGCGGACTCAAATCTAAGCCTTACGAAGAACGCCTCCATTCACTAGACCTTTACCCATTAGAGTATAGACGTCTTAGAGGTGATTTATTAATGGCTTATAGTATTCTTAACACTTCTGGACATCCTCTTAAACACCTACTCAAGCTTAGTTCGAATAATAACCTAAGGGGTAACACCCAGAAACTGGAAACTCAACATAGCAAGACGGGATGTAGACACAACTTCTACTCCTTAAGAGTTGTCAAAAGCTGGAATTCGCTGCCGGCCAAGCTAGTCCAAGCGACTTCTCAGGAGTCCTTCAAGATGCAACTTGACCTATTCTTAAGGACCAAGGACAGTATCATACTATGATTTACCAATTTCTTTTCCTCTTTTATTGTTAACATACCTAGGTTCCTGCCTGGAGGATTTGGTGATCCCCTGCTACTAGACACGGAAGCCTGTTAAGCGAAAGCTTCTTCTATTCCGTCCACAACCATTTGAACCATTTGAATCTTTAAAACTGGCGTCTCCTAGCGAAAATGCCACATTATGACTGGCAATCAGGCATTCACAAATTAAGCCTGATACATAATAAAGTTCATCATTGTTCGAAAAGCTGAAAACATCGAACCATCTCTCAGCAATAATAATTTGAGGTTTTTGAACTGATTATTGAATTTTTTCAAAAGCCGGAATATCCAAGTAAGACGCTACTTTCAAATAAGGTATGGTCTGTGTGGTGGGTTAAGCTCTCTGTTTATAGTTTCCATTATAAGGTTGTCTAATCTGGGGCTTGTATTATACCTGTCGTCTTTCTTCATACTAAATTCAGGTGTGTTAAATGCGCTTTCATGGTGGCCGACTTGTCTTTTCTTTTTTTCCAGCCCTCCTCGCTCACACAACTCTGCATATTCCTCTGGTACACAAAATAGCTTCTGACTAGACACAAACTGTTACACGTTTCACGGACATCCTTGTGCGTAGTATACTGGAAAATGTCTTGTTGATGAAGCTGGTGGCGAAAATTAGTATATGGACCTAGTAAACACTAACGTATTTATCGAAAACAACGTTGCGCAACTGATATTCTGCAAGTTAGATGTTTGTGTAGAACATTCTTCGGCTAAGGTGGGCTGTTAGGATGGCCCAGTGGTAAATGCACAAATCTCAAATTAGTAGCATATCTGTCAAATAAAAATGTAGTGTAGTGTTGACGGAGTAGATGTAATAACGGAGGAAATACTCCCTGTTGGTAACATTGCAAAAAAAATATCACGCGAAGAACATCGTGACACATTTGAAAAACAATTAGGCTGTTAAGTTCAGGATTATGACCAAGTTTTGTTCTACTTCAGGGTTAGGTTATAATTCTAATTATAATTATAAACCTTATTGCTTGTGACGTGGAGATAGACAAACCTAATACGAACCCTTGAATTTCAAACCTCAAATGGCAATCTGTAGGCACTAACTCTGGCCTTAAGGACCTAAACTATGCGTCCTAACTCTATCTTGAATCATTAACTGTACATCTCAAACCGAAATACCAAGCATAAATCCTAATAATGGGATAATGAATCCCTCATTTATATCTGTTGCATCCTGACTGGCTGAATGTGCCAGGATCATTCACAAGTTCTCTCAGGTTCATTTTCATAATCTAGGTTTATTAGGGTTTGACCTTTCAAAGCACTCGGACTTTCTTGTCCCACCTCAGTGTTCAGATGTCTGTTCTTATCTCTCACTGTAGATTTTTAGTAGTCCATCAAACATTGACAACTAATCCTCATAGCTCACTTGTAAGCGTTTCGGAACTTCTCGTCGTTCATGTTAAGAGATTCCATTAAAGTCTTGGTAATATTTACCTCCTGTGCGGGTCGCCTCAGTATTATGATTAGATCGAGTATTTTAAGTGGAGTTAGATGTTAATATACCAAGAACTTTATTTAGTCGAATTGGTGGGGCCAGATAGTGCGTAAATTATGGGATGTTGTATGAAAACTCAGGCTATACTACGTTTTCATTTTTATTCAGCTTCACTGTGTAACCATCAGTCAGTCAGTCAGCTACAACGTAGGACCAGGCACATATATGCATCGGTCCAGGTTGCCATACCTCATTAGCACAGCAAGATGAACACCGGATTCATGGGAGTGGTTAGGTCAAAGGTGGTAATATATAGGAGAAAGATTGTAATAAGGATATAGTATAGGAAGAAAGAATTAGTAGAAAGAAAGATATGAAGTGATTTTGATCTCTTAGTTTAAGGGAAGACAGGGAGTGTACACACCGACGCCATTGTGATCGATTCTGAGCCATGTCACCAAGAGTCTTCAACCATTTGTTACGATAGTCACGCGGACCCCAACCAAGTAGTCTGCATCTACCAACATGGCTCATACTAGAGGTTAGTGTCTTCAAGCACTGATGCCACGTTTTGGTTTGGCCGCCCCTAATTCTCTTCCAACCATCTCCAACACCCGTTAGCATTGCACGACGTGGTAATCGGTGTTCAGGCATACGCAACACGTGGCCCAACCATCTTAGTCGATGAAGATTCACAACCTTACCAACTGATTTACAATCATTCTCTAATACCCTGCGTCGAACCTCACAATTACTTACCCGGTGATCCCAGCAGACGCCAGCAATATTTCTAAGGCATCTGTGGTCAAATACTAGTAGCTTACAAGTGTCTTCTACTCTTAAAGGCCATGTTTTACTGCCGTAAATTAAAACAGAACGGACTGCCGCACAGTATACTCGTCCTTTTATTGATAGACGAATATCTCGCCTTCGCCAAAGGTCAGCGTCCTCACCAAACAGGACTATGTCATCTGCGTATTCTAAGTCGATAAGTGAACCTCCTGATAGGAGATCAATGCCCAAGAATTTCAGTCGACGAGAATGTTATTTCCATCAATAGGTCTATGATGAAGTTAAACAAAAAATGGAGAAAGTGGACAGCCTTGACGGACACCACTTGAGGTTGCAAAAGCAGATGACAGTTCGCCATAAGCCCTGACTCGACTATTAGTGTTCGAGTAAAGAGCCTTTACAAGGTTTATGTACTTCTGGGGTACGCCTTTCAATGACAGACACTGCCACAGAATCTCGCGGTCTACCGAGTCAAATGCTGCTTTTAAGTCAAGAAAGACCACCATTGTCGGACGCCGATAAGCATGCCTATGTTCTAGAACCTGACGAATGGTGAATATGTGGTCGATGCAGCCACGACCAGGTCTGAAGCCAGCTTGGTTTTCTCGTGTTTGCAGTTCACGAGTCTTAGTTAGGCGTCTGATTATTATTGGGGCTAGTATTTTAGATACTATATTCGTTAAACTAATCCCTCTGTGGTTGTCGTAAGATGATTTTGATCCTTTCTTATATATTGGGACGATAAGTGATTTCGACCAGTCAGATGGGATAACGTCTAATTCCCAGATCTTAGCCAAAATATTAGTCAACCTAATCGCTAAAATTGGACCACCACCCTTAAAGATCTCTGGAGCCAATCCATCTGGACCAGCTGCCCTTCCTCGTTTCAGATTAACTATAGCCTTCTCAACTTCAGCAATAGTTGGGGGACCTACTTCAATGTTCCATTCACATTGTCTGGGAATGGAGGGTAGTTGTAGAGTAGCTGAAGGCCAGTTGAACTGTTCTGTAAAATGTTCCGCCCATCGTTCTAAACGTCTGGACTGGGGGCAGATGAGAGAATCGTCTTTTTCCGAAATAATCTCACTTACACTTGACTTATTAATTCCAGTTTCTTTTATTAGTCTGTAAAGCTGTCTTGTGTTCCCTATAGTCGCCGCCTTTTCCATCTCTTTTGCTTTCCTTACCCACCACTGCTCACGGTCGTTTCTTAGACCTTTTCTTAACCTAGATCTGATTTCTTTACGCTCTTCATCATGTTCAGAACCTGATGAGACGAGTTTGCGAGAATCCATCAGTGTGATAGACTTTGAAGAAATCCACTGGTTCTTTGTAACTGTGGTTTAAGTCTCTAACCATCGTTTAATAGACAATTCGTTATTTCTGTATAGTGTAACTGCGGTATTATCGAGTACTGTCCTTCTTTCCTATCTAAAATTAGATACCTTTTGAAGTTCGGAAAAAATACTGATGCACTTATGTCTGGAGGTTTGTTTTAGAAATTCCATAAACTGAGGAAACTTATCCAGGACACGACGTCAGAATTGGTTGGTTCCTCAAATGCTATGTTAAATACCGATAAGGATTATTATGGTTTGTATGGCTTCCGTTTCTTATTTCATCTAGCTAAAATTCGACGTGTGCATCTAAGGCACCATTTGCTGTGCACACAAAAGTGTTTTAATTCAAAGGTTTTAAATACAAAAGGAGAGTAGATCGACAGTTTTCATTATAAAAATCGAAGGTCGTACTTCATCTGCAATACACATTTTATTTGTTTAGACATAAAAATTAGTACAAGGAAGCACCGAACTCATATGCGCCGCACATCACCGTTTGACTTGTGAGGGTTTGAATACTACACGGGCGCCAAAACTGTGAGTAGGCTGTGTAATTGACTACAAATGTGTTTTAGGATTAGGGTATACTTCTAACAGTTCAGTTCATTAATTGTGTGTGGGCTGTGATGCTGCCCGGGAGCCCAAACCGAATCAGATGGTTTCCTTAGGGGGCCACACCCTGAGCCTTTAACCTAATGGTCTAACCCACAAGGCAGTGGAGCATCGTAAGGAAATGCAGTCCCATGGTAGCCGGTGACCAACGGTTGGTTCATACGCCATTTGTTCCCGCAGGATACTGGAGCCCATGTGCACCATTGATTTGGTTTGGGATCCGGTTAAAGCGCCGGACATTCGCTTTTCTTCCTCTCATTTTCGTAAACAACACCGCCACGAGAAGGCTTTGAGTAGGACTTCCCTGGCAGAGGCTGTATACACGTGGCCGTGTGAGAGTATTTCGAGCCCACCCCGCTCTCGGCCATACCATAATAAAATACTTCTAACATGACCTTTAGTCTTGGCTTCTGATGTACTACAGGCATGTGGAGCGAGTTCCGCATGACGTATCTGAGAAATTTGTCAACATCGTACGAAATTCATAGGATGGACTACGCTGCTAAGTTGTTCATGAAGGATAGCTGATAGATGCATTCTAAGTAAGGGCCAGTGTTAGACAACATCGCCTACTCTCTCTTTTCCACTTTATTTTGGTGGTTGACTGGGTTATGAAGACCTTCATATCTGACAGGAAGCATGGAATACAATGAACAGGATGGATACAACTAGACGATTTGGATTTGGCAGATCACTTAGCTCTTCTATCCCATACACACCAACAAATGTAGGTCGAGACAAACAGTGCCACAGCAGCCTCTACATCAGTAAGCCTCAACATACACAAGAGAAAATGCAAGATCCTGAAATACAACACAAAGAACACCAACTCAATCACACTTGATGGAGAAACAGTGGAGGAGGTGGACACTTTCACGTACCTGATCAGCACCGTAGATAAACTGAGACAATTCGATGCCGACGTGAAGGCAAGGATCGGCAAAGTAGGGACCTCATTCCTACATTTGAAGAACATATAGAACTCAAAACAACTCAACCAATATGAGGAACAGAATCTTCAGTACGAACGTCGAGACGGTTGTACTGTGCGGAGCTGGAAGTTGGAGAACTACCACAACCATCACCGAAGAAGTACAAGTATTTATAAACAATTGTTTACGTAAGATACTGAATATCCGTTGACCAGATACTATCAGCAACAACCTACTTTGTGAGAGAACATACCAGCTTCCTGTTTAAGAGGAAATTGGGGAAAGATGGTGGAGATGGGTAAGATATATATTTGGAAAATCGTCAGACTACATCACGAAGCAAGCGCTAGCTTGGAATCCTGAAGGGAAGTGGAAAAGATGAAGATTAAGGAAGACGTTACGTGGATAATTGGAAGCAGACATGAAAATGATGAATAAGCACTGGAAACAATTGCCGAGAACAGATTTGGATGGGGAATGCTGGTGAACTGTCTATGCTACTCCACGAGAGGTAACAGGCATAAGTATGTTTATTAAACAGTCCATGATGTAGTCGTTTCTGATCAAAACCAAATACCAGGGTAATAGGATATTGTACAGACCGTTCTCAGCTAGATTTATTGAATTGTTCTTAGTAAAGAGTGAAGGAAAATTATGTCTCACATTTTTCATGTTGGTTCCTCTCCTTTATTAATGAACTTGATGTTCCACGGATAAGTAATTGCTATACACTGCAACCGTGGCATCGATATAAATTTCAAGATAGTCCTTTTTTATAGCCTAATTCTTAAGTAGGAATGCAATTTTAATTTCACTTCCCGACCCCTCTCTAGGCGGAAAATTTGTCAGACGATACAGATTGTAACACTGTAGTGGTAGAGGTAGTAAAAGTATAAGCGGTAATCGGAATGACTAGGGTTTGAAGATTATAATTTGGAAGAACACAAAGAATGGATGTGCCTGTGCTATTGCAAATGGCTTTGAGCCATGTCATTCAAGGTCTATAACCATCGGTTACTACCGTCTCGCGGATCCCAACCAAGTAGTCTACACCTATCAACATGGCTCAGTCCACTTGTCAGTGACTTCATGGATTTGTGTCATGTTTTGGTCTAGCCGCCTCTAGCTTTCTTCCAACCTACTTCTACATCATGAAACATCGCACATCGGGGTAGTTGGTGGTTGGGCATACGTAACACATGTCTCAGCCATCTCAACTGATGAAGTTTCACTACTTCATCAATTGATATGTCATTCTTACCTAGTACCCGTTTTTTAACAACCGCATTACGCGGTGATCCTAGGATATACGGGCAGTGCTTCGAAGACACCTATGATCGAATACTAGTAACCTACGAATATCTCTGACTCTTACCGGACACGTTTCACAGCCATAAAGTAGGACGGAACACACTGCTGCGCAGTAAACCCGTCCTTTGGTTGGTAGACGGATATCTCACCTACGCTATAAATGACGCAAGTTGGCCAAAGTTAGTCGAGTCTTCTGTATCCGTGCTGAGATTTCGTCAAACACCAGACCACAAAGGCCGATGTGACTCCCAAGACAAGTGAAGTGGTCGACACACTCAACTACTTCACTCCCTATCATTAGTTCAGGTGCCGATGCAACCCAAATCTGAAGCAACATTTTACATTTCGAAGGGGAGAACCGTATCCCTAACATGTTTGCATTGTTTCTTACGGTGGTCAGAAGACTTTGCATTTTGTCAGCGTCTTCATCAAATAGAACTATGTCATCAGCATATTTTAAGTCAACAAGCGAATCTCCCGGCAGAAGTTCAACTCCATTGACACCATATAGCCGAACAATGACTGCTCTCGAGACCTTATTATCAACTTAAGCTTCTGATAAATTGGTATTAAAAAACAAATTAGCTGCCCAATAGAATAGACTTTTTTTGTCCAATCAATCGGAGTACTTATATAAAAATTATTAACATAAAAGTAAACATAATTGTGTTGTAAACCATTGGTCGATATCAGTTTTATAATTCTCTTCCCTTCCAGGAAACTAAGACCTGACTGGTAGGCTTAGTTCATTCCTAATGTACCTCCTGAAACATGATTAAAGATAAATATCATGTGCATGGTAATCGTTTAGGTACCTTATATCTTAACTTTTTTTAGGTGTTTTGTCAATGAGTTTGAATTCCTGGCTTTGTTTGAGAACGATTATCTGGTACTTAATCCTACTGACTGTGAGATACTCTCAGCAGTTCGACTTCTAGATATTTACTTGTTTCGATTGTACATGGTAAAAAAAATTTTTTTACTCGATATTCCAAGTTTGTGACAATAACATCTTTCATCAAAAATATCCTCCATTTTATTTTAAGTTAGCTTTCAAATTGAACAGTTTCCACAAATCCGTCATTTTCTTTCATTCAGTTTCCAGTGGTTTGTGGGATATGCAAACGGTTGTTTTACAGTACCAATTAACGATCTATTGATGACTGAGAGCTGTATAGCCCGGATACGTGAATTCAATCGTGTTATATGGGGTGGATCCAATGTGAAGACAGATTTGTTCAAACGTTGGTGTCAAGGTGAATAGTTTTCGTTACTGTAACTTTGCCTAGGATTTTCATTTAGCCCTGTTGAGTTTAGTGCTTTGGTACAATCAACAGGTGGTCCATGTGCTATTATAGCTACTACTCAAGCCACAATTATGTACGAGGTTTTGTTCATTCGCAAGCAGAATCTAGCTGATATTACAGGTACATTTTTGTCATGAAATGGGAACTAAAAATTAGATGTCGACAATATGGAAATTCTACTGAGCGCGCTGTTAAGAATAATTCTATTGGTTTCGAGTGATCATCAAAGCCACTTTTGCTGGGTTTACTGGTGCGAAGATGAAGAACCAGCGAGTTCTGAGTCCTCCATTCAAAGTTTGTAATAAGAGTGATTTCGGGAATTTTATTTTAGATGAAAAATGTGCCACCAGTGATTTCAGTGCTGTCAATAAGTCATTGGATTCTAATATAAACCAGCTTGGAGAATGCGGTTTCCAGAAATTTATTAATGGTTTAAGGTAAGCTCCACGTGTTTTCTAAAATGTGGATTTCTTCATTTTACCTTCTACTCAAAGTTAATGTTATCGAATTGGGGTAAAAAGATAGTTCTAGGAAGCGAAGATGGTGAAAAACCTTATTAAAACAACACATTTAAGAGAACAATATAGTTTTTAAACATATCTTCATCAGGTTTTACTCTGATGCACAATAATATAAGGATTTATAGAAATTATCAAACTATTCAACCCAAGTTATGGGCCAATCACAACAATAAAAATGGATTACATAGCTAATCGTAACAAACAAAAGTACGAAGTAATGACAAGGTAATAGGTAAAGTAGTTGAAAATGTGCGTATTGATCAAGAATAGTCAATAACCCTCATAGCACTGTTCAATGAACTTTGTCCTCATTCCAGTTTTCGTTGCATTTTAAAGTCTGGTGTATGATAAAGGGTCTGAAAGTGATTTCCTATTTGTCGAACTACTGACTATTATCCTCTTTTTTATACTCGACCTGTAACAAGAAGCATTTGTAAATGCAAACTTATAGGTTATTATGATTTTTGGGCATGCTTCTATGAAAAAGTGTTAATACATTTTGTGCGTTTGGATATAGCCATTCCTTCAAAGCGATTACTGACTATGTTGTTCGGACCTTTTGAATTTGACATTTTCTCTTATGCAGTAGTCAGTCTTCTTATAGGTTTATTAATCTTCACTTAAACATTGATGTGGTCACCAGATGGTTTGTGTTGACATATTTCGGTAGTCTTCGGTGCATTTCATTATTTAATTTTATTGGTACGGTCGTAAATTTTATCTAAACTAATATCTTCCTGGATTGTTATGTTCTTTTTCAACAGTTTATGATACACTTTGCCCCCGAACGCCCTGGTACGGCCGAGAGTGGGGAGAGTCCGCTCACCCTCTCGAAATACTCACACGGCCGCGCGTATACAGCCAGGGAAGTCCTACTCATTGCCTTCTCGTGGCGGGGGTGTTCTTTACGAAAACAAGAGGACAAAAGTGAACGTCCGGCATTGGTCGCAATTGCATGACGCCATAAAAATGGCGGTAACAGTCAGTTGTGGGTTTGCGAAACGTCCCGCTTATAAGCACTGGGTTTCTTCTGGTTCCTTACAACTTATTGAAGCCCGTCGGTCTACTCCGGGTGACCGTGAGTTTGACCATAAACGAAGGATGTTACGTAAGGAAATTGGGCAAAGCTTGCGTAAGGACCGAGAAGCCTGGTGGTCGGAGCGTGCTGTGTAGTGTAATAATAATAGTCATAATGGGGGAACGGAAAGGTACGATCAAAAGAAATCTTTCAGTTAAGGAAGATACAACCACTTTTTACGAAGAAAGTAAAAGAAGGTTACAGCAGGATCGCCACTGGCTTCTATTATGAGCCATATCTGATAACGTCTCTAGACACTGTGTTGCACCATCTCTAGGACCCCAGCCAGGGAGTCGTAAAAGACCGACACAGGCCAACCCTTTGCAGCTTTCTTTCATACCACGACACCATGCCATACAATGATCACCTCTCCGCTTTTCCAACTAGTCGCAGCGTCGGCAACTAATGCACGACGTGTAATTCTCTGAGGCGACATTCGTATAACATGTCCAAGCCATCGAAGTCGGTGTTTCAAGATGGTGACATCGATTGCATTATCGTCTCTGCGTCCTAACACACGACGCCAAACCTCTGCATTACTGACATGGTGTTGCCACTGGATGTCAGCAATCTTTCGGAGACAACGATGATCGAACACAGAGAGTCGTCTAACGTCCTCAACTCGGAGAGGCCAGGTTTCACAAGCATAGAACAAAACTGCTCCCACCGACGCGTTGTAGATCCGACCTTTTACAGCCAGACTGACATCACGAATGCACCAAAAATGGCACAGATTAGCATAAGCCACTCTAGCCTTCACTATACGTGCATTGATCTCATCACTCACGCCACCAACAGTACTTATGCAGCTACCCAGATACACAAAATTCCTGACTACTTCTATCCTCTCACTAAATAGGTGAGTGCATGATCAGGGTCTTGAAAGCCTTGTAAAAGTACGTTGCATTTCGAAGGTGCAAAGCACATATTATACCAACGGACACTAATTGCCAACTGATTAGATGCAGTTTGCATGGGCTTGGGTATCATCGCACAATAAGACAGTATCATCCGCATACTCAAGGTCGAGGAGTCTTTCTCCAGACAACAGATCCACACTACCACTACCTACATCTATTAGAGCTGTCCCCAGAAAGTCATCGGTGGTAAAGTTGTAAAGGAATGGTAAGATTGGACAACCCTGTCTAACCCCACTGCTTGAATGGAACAATGGAGAAAGATGGTTGTATGCTCTCACTCTGCCTGAGGTGTTTGTATATAGGGCCTTCAATATGTTAATAAACTTCTCAGGCACACCCTTCTTCAATAGACAATCCCAGAGAACAGTCCTGTCCAACGAATCGAAGGCAGCCCTGATGCCAAGAAACACTACGATTGTTGGCCTTTGATAAGTATGAAGATGTTCTAACATTTGGCGGAGGGTAAAGTTATGATCAATACATCCTCGACCGGAACGAAAACTAGCCTGCTCCTCGCGAGTCAATCTTTTTCGGGTTTTGAACAGTCTGCGAAGTATGACGGAATCCAATAGCTTGGACGCAATCGGAAGTAGACTTATCCCCCGATAGTTGTTACAGGAACGACGTGAACCCTTTTTAAAGATAGGGGCAACTATCGACTCATTCCATGACGTTGGTACACTCTCCAGTTCCCAGACCTTTGTAAACAACGTTGTCAGTTCCTTAGCCAGAGAGTCACTACCATCTTTAAAAAGGGCCGCAGATAAGTCATCTGGGCCTGGTGACTTTTAGCGCTCCAAGAGTTGAAGTTCCTTGTGGACTTCCGCCTTATTTGGTGGGTCAGTCGTCACCGGCCATGGAGGGCAGGACAGTCTGACCGATGTTGCCTGAGCAGCAGGCCAGTTGAACTGCCGTTCGAAAATATCTGCCCATCGTTCAAGACGTCGATGGATGTTAGTGATTGGCATCCCGTCATCCTCACAGATTGTTTCGCTCACACCAGACTTCTTACTGCCAACGGCTCGGATGAGTTGGAAGAGCTTGCGGTAGTTACCAGATGCAGCTCATTGGCACGCTCCGACCACCAAGCTTCTCGGTCCTTACGCAAGCTTTGCCCGGTTTCATTACGTAACATCCTTCGTTTGTGGTCAAACCCACAGTCACCCGGAGTAGACCGACGGGTTTCGACAAGTTGTAAGGAGCCTGAAGAAACCCAGTGCTTATAAGCGGGACGTTTCGCGAAGCCGCAAGCAGCTTTAATCGCCATTTTCATGACGTCACGAAGTTGCAACCAATGCTCATCTATACTTTTCGGTGGAATGGTAGCTAGCCTAGAAGCGAACTCGGTTCGATACTTAGTTGCAACAGAAGTTGCAACCAACTCGCTGACATCAATCCTTTGGTGGAGGTCACTTCGTTGGCCACTGAAAAGTAAGGTAAGATTGGCGCAGACCAGGGCATGATCAGAGTCCAGATAGGTACTCCAAAAGGAGCAGCGGTCTTGTACACAACCACGCCAGCGGTAGCTGATCGCGATGTGATCAATGTGAGTCCAGGCTTGAGATGCAGAGGGAGGACGCCAGGTGGCACATCGGCGATGACTGTGCCGAAAGTTAGTGCTAGCCAGAAACAAGTTGTGGTCTGTGCACAGTCGCAGTAGACAGTCCCTGTTATCTATCCTGCGACCAACAAGTCCCCATCGGCCACTTAAATGACTCTCTTCTGTGCCTAGACGCCCGACCTGAGCATTCAAGTTTCCGGCTAGTACTACAATATCTGTCGAACGCACTTTCTGGAGAAGATCATAACTGGTGGTAGAATTCATCCCTGATTGTATCCGGGCTGCAATCTGTTGGAGCATAGGCGGAGATGACGAAAATACGTCGTTTCTCACGCCGATTTCTTCTCACTTTGATGGAGCTTTCTAATCTTACAGCACATAACCGACTGTTAATGGGGATCCGGTCGATTAGTGCTGCCTCAGCTCTCGTGCTTAGTTTGGCACCAACGCCAGCAAGACCAGACGAAGATGCCGCATGGTCCTCGGATAAGCGCACGTAGAACAAGCTTTTTCAAGCGACAGATGGAGAGTAAATTTGCACTTCACCAGTCTTGAATACGGGTCTCGGATAGACAGCGAACATCGATATTAAGACTTTTTAAAGACATAGTCAGCCTTATCTGTTGTCCAACCTGCATAAGTGTGCGAACGTTGAAGGCAGCCAGTTTGAATGGTGCACGTGGCTTCAGACCAACTACTTCAGTACTCATATTCGGTGGTAACACACAATTCTCAACTGAACAGTGACTCGAGAACGTTTAGATGGAGTCGAATTTCCACGATAGGCGAGCTGCTGTATAAGTCGAAAAATAAGGATACACAGGGTGGGAATATAAGAGAGTGAATAAATGACGCAGTAAATAATAATAATGTGAATCATTTAATTGTTAATCGCAGCAAGAAGAGTATTTTCCATAAATATAGACAGTTCATCATAATTGTGTGTGGGCTGTGATACTGTCCGGGTGCCCAGACTGAAGCAGGTGGTTTTCTTAGGGGGCCACACCCCGAGCCTTTGTTCCAAAGGCCTGACCCACAGGGCAGTGTAGCATCGTGAGGAGATGCAGTCCCATGGTAGCCGGTGACCAACGGTTGGTTCATATGCCATTTTTTCCCTCAGGATACTGGAGCTCATGTGCACCATTGATCTGGTTTGGGATCCGGTTAAAGCGCCGGACATTCGCTTTTCTTCCTCTCATTTTCGTAAACAACATCCCGCCACGAGAAGCTTTCGTCATCTTGTACGATTCTAAACCCAAATTGACTTAGATTTCTTTGTAAGAAAAACATTGAGAGTGAATTTATGTTATTTATTGTGGTTAGTATTGATTTACTCTACAGCAGTCGATTCAATAGCTTATCTGTTTAAGGTGCATTTGTAACTCCGTTCTATATTGGCTTTAGTCGAATAGCTATATCATCGATATTCTTATAACCTCAAGTCCAGGTATATCTTATTAAGCAACGTTTTTTGGTTGGTGTACTTTAATCTATGCATGTAATTACAAGTAAAATATATTTTTTTCATTTAGATGCTTCGAAGCCGAAACTGTCGAGGAACTCCGTGCAGTTGCTTTCTCGTTACTTCCTCAAATAAAATCAAAATATGGAGTATTGTGCTTCCTTTATTCTGTTTTGTTCACGCATGGACTTCAGTCACTTATAAATGAAATGAATGGTGAAATGGACGCTTTGATTGATCCGATTCATGGACATGCTAGTCAGTGTCTGATTAATTTATTAATTACTGGAGAAAGCACGCCATATTTATTCGATGGTGAAAGAGATCTCGGCGGATTTAGTAAGTGTATTTAAGTTTGATTGTTAAACTGGCATTAAAAGACATCAATTAATATTTTATCTAATTAAGTGCAATTATTAATTGGAGCATATTCAGAGAGACAGATATCATCAACTGGACACCAATGTACGTTGGCGCAATTTCCCATACCAGATTAGTGAGACGAAATATATACATCAGAAAGATTAAAATAATGTAGTAGCAGTGATAAAAAGAAAGACTAAACCTTGGGAATAAGATTGAGAAAGATGAAGTTAAAAGTTATGTATGAAGGGACAGTGAAATTCAGGATCAAGAGGAAGTTGAATATTGGATGCATGTGAATTGATTCTGAGGTATGTCACCTAAAGTCTCCAACCGCTGATCCTAATTATCACACACCCCAACCAAGTCGTCTGCATCTACCAACATGAGCTCCCTTAGTTTTTTTCCAAACTGCTGTTGCACTAACGAACATCACTTGTCGAAATAGGTGGGTAGTCAGAGATACATAGCATATACCCTAACCATATCAGTCGATGGAGATTTGCAAATTCATCAACCGATTCGTCACTTATGCTTGCTCATTTGATCATTCCTCGAAACGCGACGAATGCTTCAAAGACACTTATGATCAATAATCTTTAGTCTACATATGTCTCCTACTTTCATATACCATGTCTTACGGTCATAAATTAGAACGGAGCCTAATTCTGTGCCCTGATTTACTCAGGATATATATTAAACGGAATATACTAACCTCTTATTCAGTTTGTTCATTGCTCACTCTAAATAATAGGCAGCATCTCGGTTTTTTAAGCATTTTATTTAATTTATGAGGTACAAATTCTGATATATGGTCTCAAAAATGCACTACTCAAGCGTAGTACTAAAATTGTGAAGACATAAAGAAGGTAACGGTAGTACAATAAATAAATAAATGAGCAATAATATTGTTTAATAAGGATACAGCTCATTTGGAAATACAATCAAAAAAGACTTTCAGTACAAAGAGTTTATCTTAATTTTATTAAGAATAATGGAAAACGATAGTATAATCGCCATTGGCTTCTATTCTGAAGCCACCAAATCTCACAGTCTCTATGATTCAAGTTGAAGAATTAAGGTGGACTAACAAACCCTGTTCATACATAGTTATCTTTCATACCACAGGAATGTGTTATAAACGAACCACCTTCAATAAAATGAAACACTTTCTCAAACCTTTTAAAACGATCCAATCAGTTCCCTTGAAGCGAGTGGGGTGTAGGTCACTAATTGGACTATCCCTTAAAGTACCCTGCCCAAGGTTTAACATGCCTTTAAGGATTACTGATTAGTATGGAATCGCCTTCGCAAGTCATTTTATTAATATAGTAATTCTTTGTACCATGATTTGTAGCAAATCTCAGTTGGGAACACATATAGCTGCTGCTACAAACTCGTTAACAAGCTTTGATCATCAGGTTTCTTTTTCCTCACGCCGTAAACTTTGTGAAAACCCGAGTTCAAAATCTGCGTATAATATCACACTTGCGAGTAGCGTATCTCTACACATTTTAAAAGGAGTTGAAGATGTCCAATGTTTAAAAGCGCGTCAACTTCCTTGCCATTGTTAATCTACACTTTTCAATAGACTCCTGCTGGTATAGGTTGTTCGTTTAATTAACCTGTTTAAAACCTCTTCCTAAAATTTCTACTGCAATCGATTAGTCAGATATGGCGAGGAAATAAAGTAGTTTCTGCTGTGGTGTAAAACTACACAGTAGCTGAGTCATGTTGCTAAATGTGCTTGAGTGCCATGTTATTAAAATTTCTATCCATTTAAATCTGGTAATCTCTTGAGTTTAACATCAAGTGTTAAGAAGTATCACAAAAGAGTTCTAATGAAACCCAATGTACTTGATATAAAGACTAGGTGATTCATAGATAAACCAGGGCTATTCATTCATATGAGACGTATATTTTCATACTTTAATATACTATAGTATATCAAGGAAACCTCTGTTTGAACACATTCGAAACAACTTCAGAGAGGTCTGTCACTAATTTTAATCGTTTTTAATATTTACCAGTTTATATTCAAGCTTTATACGCCACCTGTATTTTCTATAGCGTTACTGGACACTTGATGCAAGCGAGTCTTGTCTTACTCATGACAGTTAAGAGCATCTTGACCAACTCAATTGTATGCGTCATAGAATTTGGCCTAAATTAATAATATCATTGATTGTATATTCCCCTTTAATTAAGTGATACAATGGGCATTTACTTAGATGAGAATTTGCGAAAAATAATTCATTTTAAGCACCTGGGTTGTCCAAATCTACCACTTGCCAAAATTGATTAAGATGGAAATACCTAAAATGAAAACATTTTCCACTTAACAATTGAGCTGGTTTTCGAACATATCCTAGTTACTTGGATTTAAAAGCTTATTACGCAGATTTATACCTGGCTACTGGACTAAACGTCTACAAATTACCTAGTATATTTTTATAGTCGTACAATGTGAGTGAATAGGTCTGGTTGACACGATGTGTAGTGCAAATTTACATCAATCTACCTTATTCAAAGTGTATGAATGGTTCAGAGGCTTTATGAAAGCCCACAATCAAGAAGTGAATCACATCGGATCTACCCAGATTTTCTTACAAAATATTCAATTCTTCTTGATAACAATCAAAGCGACTAATTGCTTCAACTTACTAATCAATCAAAAAACAGATTTGATTAAGTCAATGTTTTATCATTCTGTTCGAGGTGATTTTTGTAAGACATGCTCGTATCTTTGTATGTTAATGGGTGTAAACAAAGTGGTATTCGCAATGTCAGAAATTCAAGGTGAATTTGTGTGAAAAAAGTGTGCGTTGTGAAAAGATTCAGATGTGTCAGGTTGGATGAATGGTCAAAATTAAACAGATGGTAAGGCTTTCTTGTCTAATAAGAGCAGCAGGATTTAGTAGTATATGAAAATCTTCAGTTATTTGGCTTTCTTTATCGTTGGAAAAACCTTTTTGTATTGTTTTGATAATTTTAATATCGATTTGATGGTCATTGAAGATACCATGCACTGCTATTACTTTAGTGAATTTACTTCTAAAAGTAACACTACCTCACTAATTTGCTGACGTTACAGAACTCACCAAGTGTGTCAATTATCAGTTTAATGTAGGAATGTTATGTCGCGTGTAAAATATCTACACGCGCATCCCATTTCCTGGATTTCCTGATCAACAAACATCAGTTATACTTTTAAATGATCAAAGTTATCGAATTTGTGTAAATACAATATGGTCTCTAAAGCATCTTCATGAAATATTTCACTATTTGTTTTGTTTGCTTCTCTGTAAAGCATTGAAAGGTATATCCAAGCAACCAAAAACCGGTTTCTTGACTTTTGTTGAAGCAATGAGATATTGTGAAGTAGGATGGTTTTTGAAAAATCCATATTACCCAGTTTGGATTTTGGGATCTGAGACACACTTAACCGTTTTGGCGTCGCCAGACATGTCGTTGGTGTCAAAAAATGTAAAGCCAGAAATTAACTCCATATCAGGTTTACGTCAAGCTGAAGTTGAGTTTAATTATCTAAGCCCAGATCAAGATACTGGAGGTTTTATCAGTTCGTCAGATTTTGAAAAATTACTGACCAAATTACGTCTATCTACAGGATCCCAACAGTAAGTAAATTTTCTAAAATCATTGTCAAATTGTGTTTCCACCGACCTTTACAAACTATAGTTATTTCGTTATTATAAATCTTTATTTTCCAGTCTTTGAAAAGACAAAAAAAATTGTTTACTGATTTTTCGCTATTGTAACTGAATGACGTAACGTCAGTAACGATAATTGTTTCACTGATTAGAAAACAAATTTCTAATAGTAATGAATATCGTTGACACGATGCATAAGTATATCATTTATAAATGTGAATACAACTCGGATAGCTATAGATGAACCACAGATATCTGTATGCAAAATGAGAATAACAGAAAAGTAATTAAAAATACATAAACACAAACATAAGGGAACCTTCATTATCTGTATATGTAGAAGTTCTCAGGTACTACTTGAGGAAGGAAACCAATATCGACTTAAGATGAATGTAAGGTCATCTTTCAACACAATGTTAATACATTACTTTGTGGGATTTCAATGCATTTTCACTATAATTTGTGTTTAGTTGACAATTACCTTAGTTCATAAATTATATTCATTGTGATCTACAGATAATTAACTGAGATGTATTTTTATATTCTTCTGAGGTCATTATTCAAGTAGCTTTCCTCACGAAGTTGGACTTGTTATTATTAATTAGTGAACTAAGAAAGAAGAGGATAGCAGTAATCTCACTCTCCGTAATGAGGTTAGAGTTGCGAAGTAACAGCTTAGCACACCAACACACCATATTCTCAAATCATAACCACGAGATCTACTTAGTATGGGTAGCATAAATGACAAAGCTCCAGATTACTTTTGATGACTGCATAGTCATTCGGCAATATATTGTGGTGTATTATGTTCAAACTTCCCATACAAAAGTTAATGTCCATATCATCAGATAACATTCAAAAATACACAAATATTCAACTTCATGGGAATTATGGTAGTCGTAATCCTCATGAATGTACTAACTTGTACTAAGAGTTCGTAATAACCTTGATAAGATTCATAGATTACGGTAACAAATTCACTTCTCTAGAATCCAGAATAAATAAATAGCCTGATACCGGATATCATTTCGAGCTACTACCGCGCTTTATAACATATCAGTAAATAACTAATTTTATGGAGCATGAAAATGTTTAGTAGAAGGTCTTCACATGCTAAAAGTGAACACCTGTGTCATCATGATTGACTTTCAGCATTTTTCCTGGTGATTTCCAATCACACGAAGGTAAGACATGGTAGAAATAAGTGTCAGTCAGAATTACTGTATTTTCAAACTTCATGGCAGGATTATTATTCGTATTATATTCAACGGGTCGTCATTATTTTTTCTTGCAGAGTAAATGATTTAGTTACAAAATTAGATCCTGAAGGTTTAGGAATAATTTTGAAGAAAGATTTCCTACAGTTCTTTTTTCCCGAAGAAATGGCAAAGCACACCACTGAAGTTCTTAGCTTTCAGTTAATCCATTATAATGGTTTGGAACACTCTAATACTGATGGTCGGGTGAGTTATTTCACTTATTCCTTACTTATTAAATCTTTTGAGTAATCGATATAGGGCTTACAAACATTTAAAAAATAAAATACGCAATGTAACTCAATAAACAAATACAGTTATGTGTTACACTTTTTATACGAGCGCTGTTGATTTCACTCGCATATCCAGGTCCTAAACGATGAAGCTGGTTTGGACCTAAAACTTAATGTGTCCCATTCAACCGTTTTGAACTCAGTAAGAAATATGATTTCTGATTGTGTTCAGTTGAAAAATAAGTCCCATAAGTTTCTATAGCGTGATGTGCTTAAGTCGATTCCTTGCATTCCTGCTTCGTAGGCGAAACATTAGCTGTTCAAATTATTATGAACCCATCGCTAATGGTAAGAGAAACGTTACTACACAACATTTAGTTACAACTATCGTATAATTCATAGCTGGAAGTGCTTACTACGCTTTTTGTGTAAACAGGTTCGATACAGTATTGGTGAAGCCCGCTTAATAGATCCTACAGAAGAGCTTATCGAGACCCAGCCTATTGATCAAAGTCCTATACAGCAGTGCTTGGCAACAAAATGGCCTACAATACGAATCAAATGGAACGTAAACAGAAGTCCGTCACTGAACTAATTTATTTGTAATATATTGCAGTAGCAACTCATCATTATTACCCAAACGCTTTCAAATCTAAATTTGTACAGTTTATCACTTTGTAATCAAAATGGAATGTTTTTATGTACGTTATCATGTTTTAATGTGTTTAATCGCTTTGTTATATTATTTACAAGCTCCATACATAAGCTTGAGGGTTTTGTTTCTGGGATAGCAACAATTACTGCATCCCTGCCTCTAGCGCGAACTGAATGTATGTCGATTGGTATACGGTTCAGAATGGAGAAACTTGCGATTTCAGTCAGCTTTCCACTTCCGAACGTCCGACTTATTGCGCTCCCGAATAATGATTTATGGTACCCACAAGATGGATATACATTCTGATTCACATATACTTACTCCTATTACCCCTCATGGAGGAGCATGGGCCGCCCACCAGTATTCTCCATCCAACTCTGCCCTGGGCAATCCTTCCCAGTTGCTGTTTATCCCTTTTATGTCTGTCTCCGATTCTCAATGCACGGTGCTCTACGGTCTTCCTCTTTTCCGTTTTCCATCAGGGTTCTAAGTTAGCGCTTGCTTTGTTATGCAGTTTGATGACTTCCTCAATGTGTGTTCTATCCACTTCCAACGTCTTTTTTAAATCTCTTCCTCAGCTAGAAGCTGGTTTTCTTTCTCCCACAGTAGTTTGTTGCTGATCGTACCTAGCCAACGGATATTGAGAATATTGCGTAGACAGTTGTTGATAAATACCTGTACCTTCTTGATAATGGTTGTAGTTCTCCAAGTTTCAGCTCCGTGCACATTGAAGACACCGGTTCTCGTCCGATCCCATATACAGAAATATACAAAAAAGAATGTCACCTAAGTAGGTATTTACATACCTATATATGCAGAATTTAAAGCTACTCTCGTAAAAATTCAATTTGTATTGTTTGCATGTATCTTCCCATTGTTGTTTAGGACTGAAATTGATCAGTCTCTTGTCGGCATATGTGCATCCTGTGCGGATTGCCTCGATATTGCCTTAAATCACAAGCTTTTTAAGGACAGATGGGTGGCTGGTAGCAGTGGAATCCAGGACGCGTGTTTCGTCCCATTTCACACTCTTCAGCTGGATTTATCTGCATCTCAGAGTTGATGATCCCTCTGGAACTTTGTCGTATATCTTAAAAGCTGTCAGTTAATTTAAATTTTATTTTAACTATAACTCAAGAAAGCTCCGTTCTATACAGAATTCTGCAACAACTTCAAATAGATCAGACTATACTTTCACGGTTTCTCTACATAATTCTAACAACTGTATGAGTATTAAAGTTTCAGAAACTTTACTGGTTACATATAGTCTTTGTGTTTTTCTTCATGAAAAATATGCATTTTAAAGCCATGAAACCGCTCACATATACTCCAGTTCACTTACACCACACGTCTTTTCTTACGAATATAGTCTGTGGGCCATAATCAACGCAAGTTTAGCACAGGGTCTGCCTGGCAAGGCGTTTGCTGCGGCGCTGCTATTACTAGTAGACCACGACAGGATACCGCTGAATCGCTATCTACTACGAGCCTCATTGTTACACACTTAATATTGTAGTTGGTTAGGATTATGATGTGCTTTATGTTGCCGAATTCGGGAGGCAATCCATAAAGTTCAAATAATTACGTATGGAAGGTTCAAATGCGTTAGCATCAACCGATCCGACACAGTTACTGTTTAATTGTTGTTTCCGAGCTGTAGATCACTAGTGTAGGTGACCTAAATGGAAGTCGGTCAACTCGGGTCGAACTAGAATCATTTGTTCTCTTAGCCTACCTTCAAGTTACACCAGGTGGTTGGCACATAGCCTGGTCTATCACATTATGACAACCAGGTAAATTGACTTCTTTTTTCAGTGATTAGAATACATGATCTTATTGCCAAGTAATATATTTGTAAGAACGGATTAAGGGAGTACAAAGTAGAACCACTAGTCCATGGTATGCGAATGTCAAGTCAGCGTGGGAACGAATATGTATCGAAACAGAACGTTACTTAAAAAATATCAATATGTTCCATTCAGGAATTGTATTTACCACGGAACTCAGTTAAATACATGACCATGTAACGACCCCCATTACCCATTGACCAGGAATTGTCAGAAAGTAAAAGAAATTCTGAAAGTTGAGTCTTAGAATCCAAAAGGTTTCTTAGGAGCAATGGAATGATCGGAGTCATTTAAGAACCAACCAGGTTGTTTTCCATCTTAAAAATTTCTGTGTTCCATTAGTCATAAGTATAATTTGTAATCTACAAAATTAAGAAAAACAGACTTAGGTCCACTATGAGTGGATATGGTCAGTTGGTTGGGAATGTGACCTAGCCAGCAGGAGGACGATGCTTCGGGTGCATGCTGAAGCAGTAAATCTCATTCTCATACATGGGAAAACAATTTTAAAAATACCCTAGTCAGAACAAGTTAAAAATTCTCAAACCTAGGTGTCTTTCGTGATTTGTTTACACTATTTTCCACTCTTATGTTAAATCATATATAAGAGTAAATACAATTGCACCGACCTGCCGACTTCTAACCAACTATTCTACGTTGTTTTATACGAACACATTATCAGGCCTGTGTACCTAGTGGATGGAGGTGTAGTCTTTGATATCTTCTCATTTTTATTACTTATGTTATTGTGTCAGTTGACTTGAATGATTTTTTTTCACCTAACAATACCACCTACTGCTAACATAGGACGATTTAGTACATTTAACCGTGTAAATCAAACTTAATTGTTTTATTTATACTTTTAGTACTATTCATAAGCCGCTTATTGGTACATAAGTGTTGTGCAGAAACCATTTTAGGCTTCGTCAGAAATGCAGTAATACACAAATTTTAATGATGTAAGCATGATATTTACTACATTTAAACAGGCTCTGTGGAATTGAAGACAATATTGAGTTGGTTTTAAAGGAAAATGAAAATTTTTGGGGTAGGGGAATGAATGATATAAACGTGAAAATAATTTAATGGACGTGTATGTGAAAACAGACTAAGAAAAAACAGTTATGTACGTATTTCCGAATGAACAAAAAAGAATGTAAAAAATAAACGAGTCGTTTATATACATTGAAGATAAAATGAATCTAAGAAGTTAATTAGGTGTAACACAAGATGATGTGTTTTTAGTTATAAAGTTTGGATATTTAGAAGGAAATGAGTGACTGAAGAAAAAGAAGGCATGAAAAGATTATTTAACGTGTCAGGAGGTCAGTCATGATGACAATAATAATAATAAATACAAACACTAGCGGACTCCGGATATTTAGATGTAAAGGAAGAAAAAGAAAGGAAATCAACGAGCAAATTTTCAAAAGTCCTATTTTGATTTGCCGTCGATTAATTAGGTGTAGGACCGTGTTTGTATGAATCATAGGTAATCACATTAATATTTATTAGGCGACAGAGAACACTTCCGCAAAGAACGTCATTAAGGAGACTTCTGAACCAGGTTATAGTTTCACTGCAACGGATTTTCAGTGGGAGTCTGTTCTACATGGTTAAATAAACAACGAAGAAATTTAGGCAAAAGTTTGTGTAGGTTCTCGGAATCGCTAGAATATTTCCCTTACTGCCTAAGTTGTGGGGTGATGTCATAGAGTACAAAGGGGTGGGTGCCGAAGAGTAAGAAATATCATTTATGAGACGGAGGGCAAAGACGAGTTTCGTATTAATGCTTCTGATCCAGAGAGGATCTAACATGAGTTGTTGACATTTTGGTGGTAATCCTAGTCAAAATACCCAAAATATCTTTGATGGATTTTCTTTGGACGCCTTCAGTTTTTATTAATTATTATGCTTGAAATTACTGTAAATCGAAATAGGTATGACACACTTTTCGTATAATGACCATCTGGATTAGATGCTGGAATTTATTATTATTAGTGTAGTTCCAAAGCTGGTTTTGGATTGGAGAGTAACTGTTGAGGCTAGTTCAGTTATGCGGTATTGCCCAATTGAAAATAAAAGATGATTGAGTAAATGACGATTCTAAACAAATATTATCACTCAGTTGTTCAATCAATAGACAAGTCAAGTGAACGTTATTCTATTCTTTCTGGATAGTTCACGCACACATTGTTTCCAGTTCTGCAAGAGTGCTTGAAATCACAATAAAAATGCACACTCCCAGTCAATGCAAGCAACACAGTCAAAAGGAGGAAACAATTAGTACCGTTGCTAAAATGACTAAGTATCAACTAAAATAGCATAAATGTAGTTCAGAAAAAACATGGGAATTCAGTGAATGCATAAGAAAAACAACGAATAAAATAGAAGTGATGCAATCTCAAGTGTAATAAAAAGATCAATCTAATGTACATCTGCCGGAATCGAGAGGAATAAGTTTAAAATGTATACGTAAAGTAGTTTCCATACATAATGGATTTTACGATAAGATTTCTCGCTTTGGATACTTGAGATGAAGTGTGCTTGAAAAAAATCGGAATATTACTATAGTTTGCACCCGCGTCATAAACAACGCTGAGGGGTTTCCGTATATGCTTGTTTAGGACTAGATTTAGGTTAGTGCTTTGACCAAAGTAAATAAACCCACTGTTGTCAACATTCAGTGACAAAATCTACGACTTAATCCATTTGTAAAACTTATTTATGAAATGTAGCTTTCTATTATGGAAGAGAATGAATAGACTGCTTTTAGGTTTGCCATGTTGAAAAAGTAACCACGCGTCATTGATGAAAACGATTAGTGGATCTGTCAGTTTCCCTCGTATGATTCAAATGTTCAAATTCATAGTTTTAGGATAGCAAGATCGAAAACGGACAAAATAGAAATATCATTGATTGTCCAGCATCTTTTCCTGAGTAATTTGACCAAAGTATTCCAGGTAACCCATAGAGCATGAGAGTTCAGTCAAAAACCCATGTTCCGATGGGCTAATCAGTTTTGCAGAAGAAAAAATTGATAATGGCTGTCTTTGGGTGATTTTGATAGCATGGACGTCAGGTTAGTAGGCCTATAGTTAGCAATACCGCTACATGAAACCGTTTTGAATCTAGGGAGGATAACAGGTGTTTTTCATAATGAGCGATAGGCTCCATGACTCATGAAAAGTTCAAGCAGTTTAAAACAATATAATGGAAATCCTCTACCCAACTTCAAGAATGATGTAATTGTATCCATCGTTATAGAAAATCTTCTAGGCAATCACACCTCGTCGATGTTCGTGGAAATGAATTTGTGGGGATGGCTCCTGGTGAACTCTAAAGCTCTAGCAAGCTCCGAAAGAGCCGAAGACATCCCATCCAGTTGTCCTGTGGAAGAGCATTCCAGAAATGACATGTAGCTTCCCGATTAAGCAAATATTAAAATTATTTCATGCACAGCTGATGTTTGTAATCATAAAAATGTCATAAATAACGTGCACTAAGATGGAGTCGATGTTGATTGTAAATAATGATTCAAGTATATTATTATTATTTTAGTAGATTTTCGGAATTGATAAACCCATGCACCAAGTTCTATTTCTTCAAATATCTTTGTAACGGGAAGAGAACGTTGAAAATCTCTCCACAGCACTTTTGTCGGACAGTAATGTCATTTATTTGTTCCTTCTCTTTGTCGTGTATTTTAACCTTTGTTCAGATCTCGTTTGACCGCATCTTTTGTTCTTCAGTCTTCCTCGTCTGAGCTTTTATTATGTGATTTTGATTAAAGAATTATCTTTTGTTACCTAAATTTCTATTGCATGTTGCCAGAATATTGACACTAAGGTCGGTGTGTAGCTGTTAATCATTTGACTGTCTGCTTGGGAGGATTGCTGGGATTTTCGCAGATAGATATTTGATCCCATCTTGTTGGGAATAATTTTATTGATGCTCAGGTATCGAACCTATTAGTATTAACTGTTTCTTTTATTGTTTAGCGCGCTATTTTGCGTTAGAGCACAGGCTGTACCGTTTGAGGTATTTTGTATTTTTGATATAACTTGTTTTATTTCCCGAATTACAACCATTCAAATTAAGCACACAGTTTGTGATTTGATATAATTAAATACGAGTATCTCAGAAACGCTTCGTACGCTATACAGAAGAACGTAGTCTGGCCTCTTTGAATAAATTTGGTTTGTTAATTCTGCATTCATACCGAATATTGGCAGTTCGGTCGTTACAAACTTTGTCATCATTTGTTATATATTTACCACTGCTGACAAGGAAGTCAGTGGAAGATCAAAAATATCTCCTGAATGTTATCGACTAATATCTGGTAGAGGATTGTTGGACATCCTGGGAGCCAGATCAAGAAGGCTATCAAGAAAATGTATGAGAACAAGTGGACGTTTATAATTCGAATTACGTTTTGTACTTGATGTATGTGCATCATGTCCCATACGTTTATTTCCAAGACTTGTGTTTGTTTAACTGCTTCAGCATTTGTACTAGTGCTAAAATTTTTCCATGTTTT